CTGATCCGATGGTAGGAGCCAGGTGCTTCTCCTGGTCTCCCATGGGGTGCAGGGCCCAAGCACTTGGGCCATCCTCCATTGCAGTCCCTGGCCACAGCAGAGAGCTGGCCTGAAAGAGGGGCAACCGGGACAGAATCCGGCGCCCCGACCGGGACTAGAACCCAGTGTGCCGGTGCCACTAGGCGGAGCATTAGCCTACTGAGCCGCGGCGCCGGCCCTAAGTCTTTTGAGTTGCAGCAAATTAATCAAAATGGAGGGGATGTGGGAATCCCAGTTTATAGCTGGTAGGTCAAAAGCATAGTCATGACAACCTGGGGTGTGCAAATGGCATCTGGAATGAGGAGGGAACAGTGTACGGAAGTTAGCTCTTAATCTGTGGAATGTACTACTGCCTCCAGGTAGACAGTGTCCAGACAGAATTGAAAAAGGATACTGAACTGATCTCTGTTGCCTAATTGCTTGCTTTATCTGGTTTCAGAAGCAGCCTGCATTATAAGTTTATGTTTGCATTTGTTTTTCCTTCTATATCCACAGAACTGTATTCTGTAGTTACTGACTGTACTGTATCCTTACCTGGAAGGCAATTTACAAATAAGCAATGCTTGGTATTAAAGACAGTGTAGTTAATTAGAGCATAATAGTTTAAGACATGAGCTCTGAAGTTGGACTACTAATTTTATTTCAACTTCTTACTAAATGTTAAAGACTTTGGAAAGTTACTTAATCTCTATGTGTTTCAGTTACCTTATCTATAAATGGAAATGTTAACTGTACTCCCTTCAAACACAGTGATGTCATGAAGAATGAATTAAATATGTGTGAAGGTTGGAACAGAATTAAGTACATAACATCTTCAATACATGACAGCTATTATTATTAATGTAAGTAACCTATCTCCATTAAGAAAAAATGAGGGGGTCGTACTGTGGCTTAGCAGGTAAAGCTGCCACTTGCAACCCTGGCATCCCATATGTGCACCAGTTTGTTTCCCAGCTGCTCCACTTCTGATCCAGATCCCTGCTAACGTGCCTGGGAAAAGCAGCACAAAGCACAAGATGGCTCACATGTTTGGGCCGCTGCATCCACATGAAAGTCCAGGATGAAGCTCCTGGCCTCTAGCTTGAGCCTGGCCCAGCCCTGGACACTGTGGCCATGTGAGGAATAAACCAGCAGATGGAAGATCTCTCTCTCTGTCATTCCCTCTCTTTCTGTAACCCTTGAGGAAATAAATAAATCTTAAAAAATAAATAAATAAAATTCAAGCATTATGTTGAGAGAAGAAATCAACTTACTTTGAAAGAAAATAACCTCCCCTCCATATGACATTAAAATTACGATTTTTTAAAATAGCACTTTTCTTGAGAGGCTCAAAGTAATTTCCAAATATGTAGGTAATTATTTCAGATTTCAGGAAGTTAACCTGGAGCTGTACATGTATAAGCAATGAACACAGTAAACATTCTGCCCAAGAGAAGAGGTAAAAAGAAAAAAGATGGTACAGTTTTTTTCACCTCCCAAGAATTGTTAGGGATTGATGAAGGCTTTCTGTAAAATTCCAGAATCTATGCTGGTTCCCTTAAGACGTATTTTCTAAAGCTGGCGCTGCGACTCAATAGGCTAATCCTCCGCCTTGCGGTGCTGGCACACCAGGTTCTAGTCCTGGTCAGGGCGCCGGATTCTGTCCCGGTTGCCCCTCTTCCAGGCCAGCTCTCTGCTGTGGCCAGGGAAGGCAGTGGAGGATGGCCCAAGTGCTTGGGCCCTGCACTCCATGGGAGACCAGGATAAGTAACTGGCTCCTGCCATTGGATCAGCGCGGTGCGCCGGCCGCAGCACGTCGGCCGCGGCGGCCATTGGAGGGTGCACCAATGGCAAAGGAAGACCTTTCTCTCTCTCTCTCTCTCTGTCCACTCTGTCAAAAACAAACAAACAAACAAACAAACAAACAAGACGTATTTCTAGTTAGGACTTGGAGAGGTCATCCATTTCTTGAGACTCCTTTCTCATTCATACATCTCTAGCAGTCAATATTTGGTCAAATTTAGACTAAATGATTCAGAATTTCATAGCTACAGTTATATGCTTGAAATTATCTCAACTCCATAATCTGGAAACTGCTTTAGAGAGGTAAATTCATTTGCTCAAAATCATACAGTAAATAAGTAACTGAGTTGACGTGGTACCCAGCTCAATTTTCTTTTCACTCTACTTAAACTAAGTTAGGATTCTAGCACGTGTCAAAAATAATGTGTAATATGTTTATATAATATGCATGTATGTTTTTGCCAAATACATATATTAATATTGATTCACATTCAGTTTACTATTTTATGCTGAATATATCCATAATCAGCAAATATTTGATGTGTATAAAGTTTAACTTAAGTTATTATTTTGTGAGCTATTTCCTATTTATTTCCTTGATCTCACCCTGTCTTATGGATTATAATTTTTCTTTTCTATTATACTTAATCCACTTCCCTAGGAGTTTACCCCGTTACTCAATTCTCACATTTATATTAGTAAAGTAAAACTACTTCTCAAATAATCCTCTGAATACATATAAAAAGTAAATGAGTTCATCTCAGCAAGTAAATAATAAGCAAATCAAGTTAACTGGCTTGATTAAGCCACAAACTACACAATGTATACATAGTTTAAGACAATATGAAATATTTGATAAATATAAACAACTTTTTGTCACTGAAAATTTTGTTTTAATAAAAGAGTAAAAGAAGCTGGGGCATTGTGGCGTAGTGGGTAGAGCTGCTGCCTGCAACATCAGCATCCCATATGGGTACCAGTCCAAGTACCAGCTGCTCCACTTCCAATCTGGCTCCCTACCATGGCCTGGGAAAAGCAGCGGAAGATGGCCCAATGGCTTGCCCCTTTGTACCTACTTGGGAGGCCAGAAAGAAGTTCCTGACTCCTGGCTTTGGTCTGGCCCTGCCTTGACTGTTGTGGCCTTCTGGGGAGTGAACCAGTGGACGGAAGATCTCTCTCTTTCTCCCTCTTTCTCTTTGTATCTCCTTTGTCTCTCTCTCTCTCTTATTTTTATTTTATTTTATTTTATTTTTTTTGACAGGCAAAGTTAGACAGTGAGAGAGAAAGAAAGAGACAGACAGAAAGGTCTTCCTTCCGTTGGTTCACCCACAAGATGGCCGCTGGGGCCGGCACTGCGCCAACCCGAAGCCAGGAGCCAGGTGCTTCCACCTGGTTTCTCATGTGGGTGCAGGGCCCAAGCACTTGGGCCATCCTCCACTGCCTTCCTGGGCCACAGCAGAGAGCTGGACTGGAAGAGGAGCAACCGGGACAGAACTGGAACCCCAACCGGGACTAGAACCCGGAGTGCCGGCACCGCAGGCGGAGGATTAGCCTAGTAAGCTGCGGCGCCGGCCTGTTATCTCTGCCTTTCAAATAAATAAAGTAAACCTTAAAAAAACAAAAACAGTATTAATTGAAATTTCCAAAGACTGAAAATTGAGTAGCAGATTTGCAGAAACATTTGGTTATAAATTCCTGTAGTATCATATAAAAAGGGAACACTAAAGTTACAAACCGTATTTAAGTTTAAATATTATCTTTATATAAAAGCTTACAACATCATTGCAAAAGATTTTGTGAAAAACCTTTCTGTAATGTACAATGAAAGAAACTAGAAGGAAAGATACATGGCTCTACAGATCTACAAAACTGACCTTATTCTTATTTCAGGCCCTATTTACATAAATAAATCACTGTTAAACAACACAGGAGATATGTCATTTTCACGTACTAACATTTGTGGATTGCTAAGTACTATCAGAATACAATGACAGGGCTGGTGCTGTGGCATAGCGGGTAAAGCCTCTGCCTTCAGTGCTGACATCCCGTAAGGGCATTGGTTAGGTTCTAGCAGCTCCACTTCCGATCCAGCTCATAGCTACAGTCTGGGAAAGCACTGAAAGATGGCCCAACTGCTTGAGCTCCTGCACCAACGTGGGAGACAGGGAGGATGCTCCTGGCTCCAGGCTCCAGGCTTCGAATTGGCACAGCTCTGGCCATTGCGGCCATTTGGGGAATGAAACCAACAGATGGAAAACCTCTCTGTCTCTCCCTCTGCCTGGAACTCTGCCTCTCAAATAAATAAATAAATCTTAAAAAAAAAAAGATAATGACAAACCATTAAAAACATAATTAAAACAAAAAAAGATGAAGAGTCTGAATCCACATGTTAATATCACAGAAATGATTTTTACAAACAGAAAGCTTACACATTTGTCTGAAACAAATTTGAAACACATGCTTACTCTATTAAAAATAAAATGTAACCAATTCATATAACCTATAAAAATGGCCTTATAATAAACAGAAAACATACGAGTTCATCCAGTGAGCCAAGATCAAAGACATTTAAACATTTAACTAAAGTTAAAAAAAACTGGCAGTAGTACAGGGTGGCAGGTGGTGGATGGGAAATAAAACAAAACTAACCTGAATTCTCAAAATTTTGTCACATATTCAAAACTGATTTTACCTATTCTTTACGAAACAGAGTGTGGTCCTGTAACAACAGTTTACACAGATTCTTAACACCCTCTCTGAAAAATATGTAGGATTTACAGAGAAGGAAAGGGTATAAGATAAAGGGCAGAACCCCTAGAAAGAATGAAGTACAGACCTAGGACTTGGCTGCTGCTGTGTCCCATATCTTTTCGTTACCAGCTCAATGACTGGTGTTCTCCACCTCCTGACTTAAATGAAATTTATGTGCCCTTGACTTTGTACAGATTTTCCTATGCTTAAGAGACAAATGAAATAGCAGATTTTAAGGATGGGGTACGTGACATTTAAATCCTCTTAAATTCTGATATTTAGGTTCCTTGTCTGTAGACTTTCAAAAACGCGCTCAGAATCGAAGGATTCCTGCGTTTACTCATTAGTAGTGCATGTATCATTCACAGAGAGGCATTAGACACAGTATTAATTAGAAAAACGACTGACATAAATAGCATGCACAGTACCTTTTGATAAACGATGGAGCATACAAGATCCTTGACAGCAGATAAAGACAGCTCCTGGGCTTCAATGGTAACATTCTCTCGTGTAAGGCCAATCTGCAATAGAAACGAAACTGTGTGCACTGAGCCTCTGGAGTTGGTGAGCGATGGTGCACTGAAGCTTCCATTGGAGAGTCGGGCAGACAGTCCCGTCTTAGGGCTTGAACATGGAGAAGGAGCTGGAAGCACAGCAGGAATAGGTGCAGGTAATACAGACTTCTGCGCTGATGGAGGGGAATTATTTGCAGACATCTGCCTTTCTTTAATCGTTTAAAATACTTGTCAATTCTTTTTAACTGGTTATGAAGAGGTTATTAAAATAACAGCAGTAAAAAAAATGACTGCACTTTTGAATTTAGTTGAAAGATTCTTTACTTCCTCTTTTAAACCACTCATGCCTATGATTACAAGTTCTATCTTTGTGAGTTTGATGCACAAAAGGTCCTACTTCTCTTCATAGCAGTCCCATCAAAAAAGAGTCTTGCCTTTAGGACCACAACCAAGGATTTGTAAAGGATTTTACATCACTAAGTTATCTTCATGAGAACAGAGTTGACGTTGCTTATTTACTAAACATCTTTACCTATTTCAAGTCCATTCTTATTGCTCTCTTTTCATTTCACAAAGTACAATACAAAAAAAAAGTTGATTTTCTGTCAAGATGAAATCCTCCTGGCTTCAAACAGTATGGTTTGGAATCATCTATTGAGTACTTATCCTTGAGTTCACTGACTTGATGGGATACTTTAATATTCACACCTTAAATCACCTTCTCACACATCATTTTCATCTTGTGGAGTGAGCTTTCCTTTGAAGTACAAAGCTTCCAACTGTAGTACAGGCATATTTCATTTGATGACTGGGTCCATCAAGAAAAGTTGATGCTTTGTGAAATAGCCTAGAAGGAATTTTTAAAAAGGTTTTAACATTTTATACTTGATCTTATTTTAAAAATAATCCCAATAATTTTAAATATGATAAATATTTGGTCATATGTTCATAATTCACTAATAAAGTCTAAAGAAGTAATTTTTTTGTCTAATCATTAGAGTCATATTTTACTGCAAGCATAATTTCAGAGAGCCTCCTGCCCAAGAAAACTAGTCCTCCTAGGACTCCTCTATTACCTGCAACTTGAAGATCAAATTTTTTTCTAAGTTATTTTATTTTAAATTGATGAAGATTAAGACTTTTATTCCACAATTATATAACCAAGTTATAACAAAAACAAAGAAAAACAAAAAGTGCAAAAAAGAAGAGCAATACTGACACTGTCATTTACATCAAATACACACCACCCAGCATATAAATGAGGTATAATTTCCTAACAGATAAATCAAGCATTAATATAAAAGTCTAATTTTGCCAGAATATGACTTCTGACTTGCTTTGTTGACAAATTCCTTTCAGCAGGCTAAGGAGGCAAGAGGCAATATATTAGACACAGTTATATGACCAACAAAGAAGTATGGAAGTTGATACACTTTAAATAGAAACATAGGTGAAAGTGATCTTATCATAAGGGATTTCTTTTTTTAAAAGATTTTATTTTTATTTATTTATTTGAAAGTCAGAAAGAGAGAGAGAGAGCGAGAGAGAGAGATCTTCCATCCTCTGGTTCACTGAGAGAGAGAATCTTCCATCCTCTGGTTAACTCCCCAAATGACCACAATGGCCAGGCTAAAGCTAGGAGGCAGGAGCTTCTTCTTGATCTCCCGGGGATGGGGTGGTGTGTGCAGGGGCCCAAGCACTTGGACCATCTTCCACTGCTTTCCCAGGCACATTAGCAGGGAGCTGGATCAGAAGTGGAGCAGCCAGGAATCAAGCTGGTGCCCATATGGGATGCAGGCACTGCAGGCAGAGGCTTAACCCTCTATGCCACAGTGCTGGCCCTGTAAGAGATTTCAAACAGTAGGAAAGAGAACACTAGGTACACGGTTAGTATATATCATAATTTTTAAGAAACCACAATTATAAAGTAATATTAAAAAAGGCAGGACATCCACATGGCTAAAAGAAATGGCTCATGAGAGATGAATCTTTCTAAATTTCATCCAAAATCTTTCTAATTTCATCTAAATGTATATCCATAACAATTCCAGTGGTGGGAATAAATGAAGCACCCAATGTGGTTGCCAAGTCATTCCGCAGAGTAATTTATGGGGCTTAATTAGGATGCCTATGACAGAAAAGAAAAAAACATACAGATAGCATAATAGGAATGAGAAAGCTGAGATAAAACTGAGACTCAGGAAAAAAAACTGCTTAAAGACAAAGGCTTAAAAAGTCACATTCAAGTAAATGATTACCATTCCATTTTATATTGTACAGCACTTGATATATGTTCCACACTTTATCTACATGATGTGGAGACATTACCACTTTTGCAGATGAGCAAACTGTTAAAATTAACAAGGATAAGTGTAAAGCTTTGCATTCAGTTTCAGAAAACTCAGTGTGCAAAACAGAAATGGGGAAATGATGACTGGGAAGTTGTTCATGTGAGAGGAGGTTACCAACTAAAGCTAAATATCAGCTGCTAATAGGACAGACTAGGAGAGATAATGTAAACCTAAACCCCCATGACACTTAGAAGGCACCAGCATCAATCTGTATACTCACTGCCGGTCAGCCTATGTATGCTTGTTTCAATGGTCTACATCTTTAGAGAAATACTGACTTCAAGAGGGGAAAAAATCCTCATAAAGGTGAAAACAATGCCATGTGATAAATACATGCCTAACAAAATAGAATAAATGGCCCCCAAATATTCTAAGAGGTGTTAATAGTGATTAATTAATTTTATTCAGTATCACTGCAGAGGACAGAAGTAAAAACAAGCATTGTGGCATAACAGTAAACCCACGGCCTGCAATGCTAGCATCCCATGTTTGCCTGTTCGAGTTCAACTGCTCCACTCTCGATCTAGCTTCCTGCTAATGCGCCTTGAAAAGCAGTGGAAGATGGCTCAAGTCTTTGGGCCCTTGTACCCATGTGGGAGACCTGGATGAAGCTCCTGGTTCTTGGCTTTGGCCTGGCTCAGCCCTGGGTATTGTGGCCATTTGGGGAATGAAACAGCAAACAGAGATTTCCTCAATCTTTCCCCTCCTCTCTCTCTAACTCTGCCTTTCAGATAGATAAAATAAATCTTAAAAAAAAAAAAAGTAAAATGAAGACTGTAAGGACCAACCTACTTCATGTGAAGTACCCAGGTAAGTGTCTGGCTTACAGTAAGTGTTCAACTGCTCAGGAAGTTTCAGCGATTTTCAGTTATTAAAGGAATTAACAATTATGCCTATACTTTATACAAATCCTACAAAAGAAATATGATCCTTCATTAAATCCTTGTAACATTCTTAGGAGGTTTAACTCCATTTTATAGAAAAAGAACCAGCATTTCAGCAAAGTTGTCCTTTGCCTTCACCTACACAGCTAACTGGTAATGAAACTGAGATTCAAACTAGCCTCCCTAACTCTTAATGCTCCTGTTCTTTCTACTATTTCATTCCATATCCAACAATCTAATAAAGGAACGGGACTTTTCATGAGGTAATCAGTTCTATAACGTAAGTGTCTCAAGTAGTTTTAAAAAGCCGAACATGAGGCTGGGAGGAAGGCTGGATAATGTGTACTAATGTGTACTAAATCGGAGCTAGAAAGAATAAGCTCTTGGCCGGCGCAGCGGCTCACTAGGCTAATCCTCCGCCTTGCGGCGCCGGCACACCGGGTTCTAGTCCCGGCCGGAGCGCCGGATTCTGTCCTGGTTGCCCCTCTTCCAGGCCAGCTCTCTGCTGTGGCCAGGGAGTGCAGTGGAGGATGGCCCAAGTACTTGGGCCCTGCACCCCATGGGAGACCAGGAGAAGCACCTGGCTCCTGGCTCCTGCCATCAGATCAGCGCGGTGCGCCGGCCGCAGTGCCCCGGTCGCGGCGGCCATTGGATGGTGAACCAACAGCTAAAAGGAAGACCTTTCTCTCTGTCTCTCTCTCTCCCTGTCCACTTTGCCTGTCAAAAATCAAAATAAATAAATAAATAAATAAATAAATAAAAGAATAAGCTCTTAATTCTACAGCATAGTGGGATAACTATAGTTAATCTATTATATATTTTCTGAGTGACAAGAGAGGAGATCCAAGGCTTCAATCATAAAGAAATGACAAAGAGGAGGAATATTAATTAATGACTTGATCAGCATACACTATATACATGTATTGAGATGTCAGTGTTTTCCATAAATATGTACAATTATTATTAATGTTTTAAAAAATAAAACAGCTGAACAACTACCACAAATCAGGTAGTAAAATATCCATAAATAATACTATATGCAAGTTTACTTCTTACCACTGTGTTGAATAATGATTTATTCTGTAGTAGGCATTTAGCCCTGTGGTGAAGATGCTCACATTCTGAGCTGGAGTATCTGGGTTCAATTCTGAGCTCCAGCTCCTGACTCCAGTCTCCTGCCTATGTAGACCCTGGGAGGCAGCAATGATGGTTCAAATAATTCAGTTTCTTCACTCACTTGGGAGACCTGGATTAAGATCCAGGCTCCTGACTTTGGTCCTTGCCCAGCCTTGGCAGGCATCTGGGGAATGAACCACTGTATGGGAGCTCTGTCTCCCAAATAAATGAAATTTAAAATTAAAAAATATATTTTAATGAATGTCTTCCCATTGAATTTTAATTTTATTATACTTATTAATATCAAATAATAGTAGCTGCCTAACAGAAATGTCTAATTTACCAGAATAACCATTCAGAGTAAACTGTTATAATTTTGTATGAAATTATTTTTTAAAGTTTCAGCATGAACACAAACAGAAGAGACCAGAGGCTGTCATAATAGCTCCTCATTTTGTTTTTGGAACCCCTATTAGTTCTGTAATATGCAACAAGAGGTATGGTGCAAAACACTTAAGACTAAATACCAAGAGAAACCCATTAATTCTAATTTATGTGAACCTTGGTACGTTTCTTAATTTTCTTTCTTTATGCTTCAATTAGAAAACTGAAATGTTACATATTAATTTATAAATTGAATATCAATTAGAGATGTTTCTAGTATATTCTAACAGCTATAAAAGAAGCTATAAACAATAATATTATCTAGTTGGCAAGCACGTCTAATATGTTTATGTGGAATATCTCAAATATTCCTTTGAGGAGTTAGATGTCATATATTCCATTCAAATGAGTTTATATAATCTGTCACCAGTGTTGAATGGAATCAAAACACAGAATATTAAAGATGCCTTGAGCCCAGGCTGCTGTTACAAGGTGACACAAAGGCCCTGAGGTTTAAGGGACTAACTTGAGGGTTACTTCAAGGTAACATCACTAGTGGATCTACCTTCTGCTCTTCCTCCCTTACTTCTCCCCTACACATACATTATTTTACGTCTTGACAAAATCTCTAGGAAAAGTTCTAACAGCAGCATTTCATTCAGCAATTATTGAGTACTTAATGTTAACTAGATTATTTTAAGAGATGATAGAGCTACACAGTGGTGACCAAAACAGATATGGCCACTGCTCTCTGAAGCTTGTGGGCATTACACAAGCATTCATGTAAGTAGACAACTACAAACTATGAGAAGCAACATGATTGAGTATACTAAGGGTACCTAATTTCAGCTGGGGTCTCAGGGAAGGGCCATTTAAGGAAATATTTCAGCAGGACTTCTGCATAAGTCGCAGTCAGGGAAACAAAGACAGAGGATTCCAGTAAGACAAAACATGTCTAGTTATTAAATATTTCAAAAGGAAGTCTGTTACTTAGTGTAGCCAGTGTTGTTCTTGTACTCAAAAAGCTAAAGTGAAGAGGTAAGAATGCCCTTTCTACTCAGCAAGCAGAATATTTACCATGAGTCTATAACAGTAAAGAGTTTTCCAGGTTCAATTTAATTTTGAGTGTTAATAATGCTAAATGAAGTGGAAGGTTGTCCATGTTTTGGACCATGTCCATATCTACCCTGATGCAGGCTTGACTTTGGTTAATAATCCTGATGTTAATTTTGAATTACATTACTACATAAAAACTCAAATCTCCTTGCTGCTTTTCTAAAAATCGTATTATGCAGCAACCTCTGCATCTACTTTCATGTATTTTCTAAAACACTGACTACTGCCTTAGATTAACATAATTCTCTCCTTCAGAGCTCAGCATCTGAGTAAACTCTTTCCTCTCACATTCTGCTCATCCGGATCCGCGGCCTATGAATCTCAGTGCTTTCGCTGTCACTGGGGTTTAAGAGGGCGCACCATGTGTCCTCCCTGCTCAGGCACTGAAAGTTTATCCAATAATAAGATTACAGACTGGCGAGCAACATGAAATCTATGGTGAGCCTGATGTGTCTTCATCTTTGCACCAGTTAATAGCTGAGAAATGTGACTGGCTAAGCCAATGAGCAATTTCTCACATACTGCCACTATAATCAGACCAGTGGAGAAAACATTTTTCCTACATTAAATTCGAAACACTTTCCAAGTACATTATCTCAAGTTTTTGGAGAGGAATGCTCCAGAGACACATATATAACAAGCTTAATCTGAATTACATAATCAGAGACTTGAAGTACAATCAACACAGGAGATTCTGAACCATAAACGTCACTATTAAATTAAAACTTGTACTAGTAAATAATTTCCTCATATACCAAATTCTGAATTTTAAAAAATGCATTTAAATGATCATCTATTCATTTTTCCCCGTATAAAATGTTTTCAATTCTCACATCATCTTAAAAATTTAGCATCTATAAAGCCCAATTTATTAAGTTCCTTTTCTGTGTGCAGTATTGAAATGAAACTCATTAAAACAAAGAAATGTCTATGTTAAAGAGTCATCTGAAGAAACAAAGGTTATAAAATTTGTATAATTAAAGACCAATTATTATGTGATAATTTCAAAATTAATTTAAATTTAGACCCGTCAACTTTCTTGAATCCCAGCGATCCTGAAATGTGAAATGCTTTACAAGGAACACTCCAAGCTCATCTGATCAGGCCTACTACATTAATATCATTACCATATGAAGCGAAATCAACCATGAAGGTTCCTGAGACACGTTTTAAATACTACATTTACTAAAACGTGCAATCTCCTTTTGTCTGAATGTCCATGCTTGATCTCAAGCGAGACTCTAACAGGGGAGAGGGAAAGGGTTCCTTTTTATACGGCGAAACTCAGCCGAGAAACCTCACGGAAGCCTTCTTGCAACAAATCCATAAGGTATTCCCCACCCTCCCTGCATTAAAAGTTTGTAAACTTGACCTAAGCAAAAGCAAAATCGCTCAAAATCTAAGAATCGCAACGTTAAACACAAAGTAAAAACACCCTAAGAGTAATAAAACAGGGTGCGAAGTGAAACATTTGGAAGCTGTTGCTTCCCTTATGGCTACAACCCCTCAAAGCAGTGTCGTCCAAAGTAGTAGTTCAGGGTGTAACTCAGCCTCCCTAATCAGAGATGACACCGATAGTCTGATTTCCTGTGGGGATGGGTGTGGCTGAAGAGACAGTTAGGTGCAAGCCATCAATCTGCGTGTGGGGACAAGTCTGCGGGTCGCACATCGCCTGAGTTAGGTTCGCGCTTGCAGACGGCCGGGCCTAGGCTTCGGGGTGCGAGGAACTGAAAGAAAGTAGCCAAGAGGCAATCAGGTGGTACGCGCTTATTTTTCATGCTCCGAGAAGTAGTCGCAGTCCGCAGCGTTTCGTCCTAAGAGACGCCTCCCCGGGGGTGAGCGCCACTCCGGTCAATGCTGCGACTTGCAGAGAGATCTAAACGCAATCGGGAAACTGGGGTGCGGGCTTCCAGCCCCCACCCCACCCAACGTCACTTACCCCTCTGAGACGGGCACCACGCAAAGTGATGCAAACGAAAAGGCTCAGCCCAAACCCGGCATGGTGAGCGCCGCCGCCACTCCGGCGTCGGGCACTAGTTTGGCCAGAGGGGCCCCAGAGGGCCGGGCGCGGTGGTCACCCGTCGAACGCGAACCCGAGGTGGCCTCGGCGCGGTCGCCGGAACTTGGCCCCATCTGGCGGCCGCCCCGGCGCCGGCGCCCCCGCTCCCCGCCGGCCGCCCCCCGCCAGCCGCGCGCTCCCCCAACTTCCCGCCCAGCCCGGCGGCCGCCGCCCAGCCCCGCACGCCGTCCGGGTCCCGCGGCCGCCGCCGCCGCGTGCGGGGTGTGGGGGAAGGGCCGCCGCCGCCTCGGCCCGTCGGGCCGGGAGAACAAAGCGGCAGCGGCGGCGGCGGCGGCGCGAACTTTTTCGGTGTCTGCTCCGCGCTCCCTGGGGCGACTACTTACTGAGGCGGGCTCGGCCGGTCCTGAGAAACTCCGCGCCCGCCAGCGTCTGGGTCCCCGACCAGGCGCCAGCGAGGCTTCACACGCCTCACAGGATCCCGCCCGCCGCCGGCGCCCCTTCCTCCCTCCCTCCCCGTCCCGTCCTGAGGCCCGAGGGCGGGGGGCCGGGGCGTGCGGGGCGGGGGCGCGCGAGGGGCGGGGGCGCGCGGCCGGCGCGGGGCCTGCCGGGAGCTGTAGTTTCCCCGGCGCGCCCGCCCGGGCGGTGGCCGCGGGGAGGCGGCGGGAGCTCCGCGTGTTCTCGGGCTTGTCCCTCGGCCCCTCGAGGTCCGCGAGTGTCAGTGGCTGCGGGGAAGCGGGGCGGGGGGGGTGCTCTGCTCAAGACGCGACTGCGGGTCTCTACCGGCTGCACGCCACCCTCTGGCATCCGCTCCGGTGGTGGCGACGGCCGCCAGGGCTAAGAAGAGGTGACAAGAGTTGAACGCCAGACTTGCAGGGTTCCGGGGCAGAGAGCAGCGGAACACCAGCTCCGTCCACCTCACATCCCGTCCGCCAGGTGCTCAGGTGGCCTCTGGGCAACCCCGAGCCCCCAGCACCGCGGCGGGCACCTCCGGAGCGCTTCACCAAGAGCCACGAAACTGGAGTGGCGACTGTCACTGTGTGTGTGTGTGTGTGTGTGTGTGTGTGTGTGGCCTCGACTGGGACCCCCGCCACCGGGGGCTCTGGGCGACCGCTGAGAAACCACAGTGTTTCCCCCACAACGTTTTGTCCCGAAAGTACTTAAGGAGAATTTATTGAAGCGACCGAGGGGGCTACGGGGCCCAACAGCTACAGTCAGCCGCGATCCCAATGCGGAGTGGACAGGGCTGCTTTGGCCAACACAAAAAACTAAACTCAAGTGGGCCCCTACTGTCGATACCAAATCTTCAGTCTCAACGGTTGCCTCTGGATTTAAGGTTAGAAATGGGAATTTTGAAAGTTTATGTTAAAGTTGAGCCAAGTAAAATTGTGTGTAACCCTGATTATTATTTACATTTTAAAGACCTCTCTGACCCATTCTGGGGAATTAGAAACTGCTGAATGTCTCCCATCCGGTATCATCTATCTAATTCAATCTAATTATATTTTACTTAAAGTCCTATTCTGCCTTTCTTCTTTTTTTAAATTTATTTATTCACCTGAAAGGCAGAGAGCTACAGAGGCAAAGAGAGAGAGAGAGAGAGAGAGAGAGAGAGAGAGAGAGAGAGAGAGAAAGAAAGTCCTCCATTTGCTGGTTCATTCCCCAATGAAGCCAGGAGTCAGAAGCTTCTTCCAGGTCTCCCAAGTGGGTGAAGGGGCCCACCTCTGCTGCCCTCCCAGGCCACAGTAGAGAGCTGCCAGGACTGGAACCAGTGCCCATATAGTGGCCCTACCCACCATGCCACAGTGCCAGCCCTTATTCTGCCTTTCTTTTATTTTAATGCCCACATCCCATTTCAGAGTGCCCAAGTGCCTGGGCTCCCTACCTGATTTCAGCTTCCTGCCGGTGCGTACCCTGGAAGGCAGCAGATAATGGCTCAAGTAGTTGGATTCCCACCAACCCCTGGGAGACCGGAGCTCTGGTCTCCTGGCTTCAGCAGTCCCAGCTATTGTGGCATTTGGGGGAATGAACCAGCAGATGGAAAACTGTGTGTGTGTGTGTGTGTGTGTGTGTGTCTGCCTTTCAAACAAATAAGAAGAATTTACAGAAGAAATGGAAGTCAAGTCATGCATTACCTTCTTTTTAAAGAATTCTCTTGCCTAACTGCCTTTTTCCACCTTTCAACAGACATTTTAGTGCTGCCCCCAATATCCTTTCTCAGCAAAATTCCTAGAACCTTGTCCTTGGAGCAATTTTCAGGCGGTCCCATCTCACTATTGACTTTCATTTTCAGTTGTGGCCCTTAAAAATGCAGAAGTTACTCTTCCTAGAAGTAGCTTTTCTAAACAGGGCCAACCTCTGTTATAAAGAGATTTAAATATTTATTTCCGTGTGTGAGGACTGATACTTCAAAAATTTCATGGACAAATGGAATTAAAAGAAATATCTATTTTAGCACAAAAACTTTCTAGAATTCATACAGTTTCTTTGTAGTATACATTGCAGTGAACTTTTTGCAGACCCCTTGTGTGCATGGATTTCAAAAAATTCTAGACCAAATAAAATTTTCTTTCAATTCCACTTTCCATGACTTTTTTGAAGTGCCCTCATACTGTACATGCTACACATGTATATTTCTTTTTTTAAAATTTTTGACAGGCAGAGTGGACAGTGAGAGAGAGAGACAGAGAGAAAGGTCTTCCTTTGCCGTTGGTTCACCCTCCAATGGCCGCTGCGGCTGGCGCACTGTGGCTAGCACACTGCGCTGATCCAAAGCCAGGAGCCATGTGCTTCTCCTAGTCTCCCATGCAGGTGCAGGGCCCAAGCACTTGGGCCATCCTCCACTGCACTCCCTGGCCACAGCAGAGAGCTGGCCTGGAAGAGGGGCAACCAGGACAGAATCCGGCGCCCCGACCGGGACTAGAACCCGGTGTGCAGGCGCAGCAAGGCGGAGGATTAGCCTATTAAGCCGCGGCGCCAGCCTACACATGTATATTTCATTTCATTTCACTGTTTTGCTTCTCTTCTCAAAAATAACATTTTCTCTTCTACGTTAGATGAGTTCCTCAAACACATTTAGGGAAAGCACTGATGTTTTACCTGTAATTCTTGTGCTTGACATGAACTACATTTTCATCAAGGCATTCCAATCCCATTCTAAGAATTACAAAGATAAAGGTTGTATTTAGTTAAAGTATTTTATCCTAAAGAGAAAATGTAATTAAATGATCAAAGCAGAAAGGATTTTTCTTCTTAGTGGTGTATATGAAAACAGGAGCTTATAATCATCTTCTATGGCTTCATTTGCAAATCTTGTCTCATATTTAATGGCCTCTCCCTTATGCTTAATGACACCAACATAACTATTCACATGTGTTAGGTGACACAAGCGAAAAGAGCAACTTTTGACAGAACCGATTCTAATTCAGTTTAGAATCCTAAATGCAGAAAAACATGTTTTGCCAAAGATCAGGTAACAAAAATAGTCAATGTTTTAAATCTTCTTTGGGGGTTATTTTATAGAATTTGGTTACTGGAAAATCACTGTGTGTCTGTGTGTCTATGTATGTGTATCCTTTTTTATAACCTTGAGACTTAGCTGAAATTTTTATTAAGTATACAGATTCCAACATAGAGTTTGTAACATAGGGGAGGAAGTGCTTTAGAATGTGTTTATTTTTCAGCGGAGATGCCCTTGACAGTTCCCAAGGTGTCCTTCTTTAGTTTCCACCATCCTTGCCCTAATCCATCCTTCACATCTGGATTACTGCATGTGCTTTGGTTGGTCTCCTTCTAGGCTAGCTTGAACTGTTACACCCTTAGAACTGTCAGCTCTGGCGTGCAGACACTCAGTAATTGTTCTGTGCTCACTTGATAGATAATTCTCTTTGTCACTTTTGACATATCATTGTGGACTGAGTGTACATTAGATCCTCCTGGGCTGCCTGCAGGCCCTTACCCCACTAAACTGATAGAAGCCTCATTTTTGTTTGCTCATCACAAGTGCTCAATTAATGCTAGTGGATTTTCCCAGTATGTCCTGATTCTATTAGTTAGTATCACATGATAGCCTTTTCAATAGTCCCCTATTATCTACCATATCAGGTCCAAATTCTTATGCTTGGATTTAAAGGCTATTAGTAATAGCTGTAGGCCAAGTGCATTCATGCATTTTTATATGGCTTTCTCTCTTTATTCTACATAACTCCATCCTTTTATTTCCTAAAGAGTATTTATTTCAGAGAGAGAGAGAGAGAGAAAGAGAGAGAGAGAGAAAGAGAATGTCCCACCCGCTGGTTCACCCCCTAAAACGGCTACAGCGGCTTTGGGCTGGATGGCTAAAGTCAGGAGCCTGTAACTCTATTTGGGTCTCCTGCATGGGTGGCAGGTGCACATCCTTTGCTGATCTTCCAGGTATATTACCATCTGCATTCATTCCTATATGTATAACATAGTATAATCCAAAGGAGATGTGGTAAGGATGGTTGACTAAAATGATGATTAGAGAAGTTTGGTATAAAGAGAGAGGCTATTGCATATGCTTCCCCTGGAATTTCATATGGTGTCCTTAAAAGTGAATATTCTCATAATTGCAATAAAAAAAACCTGGCCACTTCACTGATTCCTGTTTATATTTGCTATTGCACAATAAGTTTCTCCAGGAAAAAGGAGGTAATGCATAAACATGCTCATGAATTTTAAAATGGGATTAACATTCAATTCCCTTGGGTTATGGAGTATTCTATTCTAGATTTCATTTAATTGAGTATTAATGAATAACTTTTCTTTTGAAGTACTGTAAACAGCTTATAATGTATTTTCAAAGCTAGATGAGAAATAAAAACAAGGTACTGCAGACCTGAATAAGAAGCCGGGATCAAAGTTCATTATCCCACTGGGACAGACCAAAACAGGGGAGCTGTGCTCCCTCTTTCACAGGCTGGAAACTGCACCAGCCCAGAAGAGCCAACTAGAAGGAAGGGTTGGGCTGGCACTTTGAACACAGAGTCCAAACTAGTCTCTGTCATTTGGTGGCTTCATGCTCCTCAATCTCACCAAGAATCAATTTCCTTCTATTTGAAATAGGGTATAT